AATTCTGATCCTATTATAGTGTTGGAACATACCCAAACTGCTACCATAATCTCTGAAATGTTACTGTTCTCTGATTTAGGTGTCTGTGTCAAGAATAAAAATGAAGTATAACTGGTAGCAGTAGACTATTTCCTAAATGTAATTTAGTATTCACTAAGCACCAGCACTTTGCAAATAGCTCTGAGGCTTTCCTTCAAAGTTCAGAGCTCTAGTTATGCATATTGTGTGAGGTACACCATGCAGCTCACCTCCAGCCTCTGTTGTGCTGAATAGATGGCTACGATAAATCATGCTGATTTGGCACTGAAGGGCATCAGCCATCAAGGATTTGACTACTATGTCTTTTTTTTTCCCTGAGATTATATCTCCTTGAACTGCCTGCCCTGGGCTACTAGTTTTGGAGAAAATTAAAAAGTGGAAAAAATGCTAGGGGAGGCCAGTACAGAAAGTCTATATAGGCTCGGCTCTCTGGAAACCCATTAACACCAGTCACAAGACTGGCAAAGAAAACATTGGTGGTTGTTTAAAAGTCAGGCCAAGTCATTTTACGCAAGATCTGGTAATTCATTAATCTATCTGGCTGCAAACCTTGAATGAATAACCTGAAATAGTGAAAGAGACTGGCAGCACCACAGAACATGAGGGAGTTTATAATCTGAACCAATGCAAATTACCCTGGTGATGTTTAAGGCTCCCCTCTACCCTCATCATCTTCCTGATGCAAAGCCTTCCAAATAAATAAGAAATCATTTATCTCCATGAATTTCCCTGCTGCCAGGGGCAAGACAGTATGCATTTCATTGTGCATCTCTTTCTCTCCCCACATTCTCATTGCTTGTAACACAGCATTTTTTGGCAGCCTACAATAAAACATAGTAGCCTATTTAGGCTTTCCAAATACACAGCATGTGGCACAGCCTTGAGAAGTAACCTGGGCTACACCTACGCAAAACCATTAAAAATAAAGTCATCGAATACGTTGAGCATCTCTCTGGAATACTGAATTACATAAATAAATGAAATCCATGGAAGGAGAAGCAATGTGGGTTTTCTGAAGTCTTTTTAAAGGCTAAAAAAAGTGTTTTGCCAAGTATGAGAATACCGCACTTACAAATCTTTATGATTTTACACAAGTTCATTATACTTTAACAGGTTATTGCCTATCTGTGGGCTGCATTTTCTCTTAACATCAGTTATTTGTAAGCAATGCCAACAAAGAGAGATATCCACCGTAGATATCTTCTGTCTCCATAATGCTAGGCATGGGTCATAAATAATTTTAAATATGACTAACCTTACATGATAGGGTATGGTATATTTGAAGAAGCCTCAGGGGACAACAGTTTTCATGAACAAAAAGCCTTCTCACTCATGCCACATCAAGTTGTATGGTTGTTCACATTTTCACATAGCATTGGCTTTGAGAACAAAAAACTAATCATTCTGATTTTTCTAAAAGTAGCCAAATCAATTTTTTACAAATACATTTTTTTAGTTCTTCACAGAAGCAAAAAATGAAAGTGAATGATGCAGTGAACCATCCAAATAACTGGTCTTGGGTGACTTGTTAACTATTTACTTGCATGAACTTGTGTCAATAGACAGTGCCCTGAGGGGCAAGAACTCCTTCATTTTATCTTTCTAGTAGTCAGAACAGGGCATAGAAAACCAGATGAAAACTAAAAGTGATCAAGCTGTGAACAGAAAGAAATCAACTAATTCCTAAGATGCATATGTACACACATTGGTAAGAAGAGCTTCCATGCCGAGGCAGACGGTACGGGCTTGATTCGGGACTAGTACGTTACACTGGCAGGCAAGCAAAATAATGCATTGATGAATCAGGTGCGTCTACAAGATACTGGTGTGCTTTAATACTAGGGTGAAGGCCAGTATCTCATCACACCTAAGTGGATGAGAGCAGGGATTTATACTCGACAGTTACACGCTATCTAGACTAATTGGAGCTTTATCTCACTTGGCTCCTGGTTGCTACCATAACTATTAATAATTTCTAGTCCATGAGACTCCCAGTGCCACTGCTTGTGGGTGCTCAGCTCAAGTGAGCTTCCAGGAACATGATTTGCAGAAAGCCTGAAAATTCACTTTCTGAAATACAAGTCTTTTTTTAGAAAGCTCACCAGCTCAAGACATCCAGGAACTTTGTAAAGGGCTTTTGAACACCGGCCTTCACCTAGACAATGCCACATGTACTGCATTAATACCTCAAAGGACAGCGTGCTTAATTCAAGGTTAGGTTTGACAATTAACGCTGTACAGCCTGTGCAATTAACGCTGCTCTTGTACTTCCCAACATTTGTTTGCCATTCTGCTTCTTTCCCTTCCACCCCAGACTGTATTTCTATTTTTGAATGACAAGGCCTCATCTGGAAGCTTATGTTAGATAAAACATACTACTCCCATGATGACATGAGAGAAAAAAAGAAAAAAAGAAGTAAAAAAAAAAAAGTTATTTTCTTTAAAAAGAAAAGCCAGTGCAGGTCAATATGGAAAAATCTAGAGATTACCAAATGGGAAACTGCACAAAACTTCCATTCTCTCAGCTAAAACAAATCGTTCCTCGCAGACTATGTGAGATAGTCTCTGGAGGAAGAAGACATCTTCTTCTGTTCTTGAGCACCCCCAGTTGTCACATTACAGAGCGGCAGAGGCGAGAAATAGCACACGGTATCCAGCTGCATGATGGAGAATGGGGACAGGGTTAACGTATGGGAGGAGAAAATAGCTGTTTCATTCCCATCTTCCTAGGCCAAGCAACCAAGAAATGTAAATATAACACACTACGAAGCTGAAAATAGTCTAATTTTGCACTGCAGTATTGCAAAATGCTATTTGAGCACAATTTGTCCCTACAGGTAAGTATGGGCTAAGCTGTGCTGTCAGAGACAGCGATGCAGCCTGCAACTGAAGATGATGAGTGTGAGGAAATCCAGGCGTTTGCAAAGAGGACAACGGAATTTGCCCATTAGGAAAGAAGTAGCATACTTCATTTCCAAACTATTATTTCTGACCTATTAGTTATTGCCTAGATGCATTCCCCCAGCTGCACACCACCTCCTTCTTCACACTGAGGCTGCTCATCCTCAGACGCACCCAAATGTGCCCGTGAGAGGTTACACGTAATGACCAGTACCTCGTGTCACCATCTCCCAATGAAGTTAGGTACCAGCCTGTCTGGTTGTCTTGCTGTTTGCAACACGCTTTGATTTTCAGAACAGGAATTGTCTCATATAGGAAGTGACAATTCCTATAGAAGATGTGTAGGGGAATTGTCACTACCTATCCGAGACAATTTTATACTCGGCAGCTGTGGCCACCAGTGCAGCCAGGTAGCTATACACAGGGCAAACAACGAGCCTGTGGTCAAGTTCCACTGGTTTTACCACAACGATTTGTGTGCTTAGAGTTGGTAGATGCTTAATTATATTACTTATCTAGAACTTACACTTTGAAAGTCTGCATCTTCAACTGATTTTTCCAAAAGGAAAATGCCTCTGCATTTGGCTTTTGATGAATGAGGAAAAATATGTCTTCTCGGTTATAAAAAAGGCAAAGCCACTCTCTACTGTGCTAGCTGCAAATGTGTCCCCTGCCCCCCTGCCTCCCTGCTACTGACCATCCAAACCTGCACACCAACATACCGTACCCTGCCCGAGGCGGTACAACTGCAATTCAAGAACAAGACGGGGTTTGGAAACTTTGTAAAACAAGGCACGGAACATTATACAACTAATGAAAAAAGAGGGCCTAAGCACAGGGCTTTGCAGGGCTAATTTCATTTTGTTTTGAATAAAATTGATTCCAAGTTACTTGGGTATAAATGATAGAAATTGAATAGAAAGGACTGGTTTCTGCTATCAGTTACACTGGTATAAATCCAGAGTAACTTCATCTGCATCAGGGAGATCGCCATGTGTTTAGAGCTGTATACAAAAAAGGAGAATTTCATTCAGGACATCTTAAGTAAGCATTTCACTATACTGTTTCAGTTAACCTTTTCCAGCCTTTGAACTCCACCGTGATAATTCGGGGCTTCCCTGAGCCAGAGGGCCAGCTGCAGTTCCTGGAGCTGCGGTACCTGCTGTGTGAGAGGCAGCACCCGTAGCTTGCTGTTGCACAAGGTCTTCCTGCCAGCTAATCAATTTGTTGTCCAATTTCCTATTCAGTGGACGATCTATGGCACCTCCTATCATCAAGGAGGGAAGGAGGTTAGGGTTCAGGAGCGGCACCGCTGCCCCATAGCCACGGGGCGGAGATTCATGAAGGCTTTACACAACAAAAGAAAGAAGACCAGAGACAGAGATAGAGAGACCATAACCCTCCTCTCATACACCCTGATCCTCAAGGCAGTATTTCAAAGAAAGCATTTAAATCTCTCCTACCACTCTTCAACTTTTACTTTAAGACTGCTCTCAGTGGAGATATGTGAAACATCCCAAACAATCCGCTGGCTCCTGAGCTACTGACAGCCTTCACTGCCTTCTCTGCCACATCCACCCTTCGCCTTGCACACCAATGCTCTGAGCGGTAAAAACCTTCACCAGAAATGCCCCAGCAGCAGCTACCCATCAGCTAGCTGCTGTGCTGCACTCCGCTTCTTGCCAGGGAATGCAAGTGGAAGACAACAAACATGTTTTGACTTTTGTTTTTCTTTGTAGCTGACAAGTGTGCACCTCCTCGCCATGACGCAGCAGGGCAGTGTGCTCTAGGCTCTCTTTAGTTGTTTCCTTTAAAAAATCAAAAGTTCCATTTTATTTCTTTCAAGACTTTTTCCCCCCTTTCTCCAGATTGCAGGCCTGGTTTCAATCAGGAGGATTAACGGTGCCCATCAGAACCCGTAACACACATCACCACTTTTGCTGTCTCTTAACGGGGGAAAAATAGTAAAACCATTGTCCACCAGGATGAAAAAAAAAAAAAAAAAAAAAAAAAAAGCAAGCAAGGACTTTGCAACGTGCAATTGCATCACCTTGCCTTACCTCGAATATATTGGCGGGTTCATTGCTGTACTGATTGGAGATGATCTCTGACTGGTCGCTGTACCACTTGAGTCCCCCCAGAAAGCTGTCCGCGTCTAGGTCATTCACATCTAGTTCGGAGAGGTCAAGTTCTGGGAGATCTGGGCAAAGAGGCTGGTCTTCGCCAACCAGAGCAGCACACTGCAGGAAACAGCAACACAGAAATAGTTTCATTAATTACCAGGAATCTATTAACTTTAATATCATGTGATAAGAATTAAGCCTCGATTAAGCTCAGGGTCACTAGAATCGACTTTGTTTTCTGGAAAAAAAACTACTAAGCATTACATCATTGTTAGCTCTACACAGACATGCAAAGGGGAGGGGGAAACAGGAGGGCATAAGATGCCTTCTCTATCTCATCTCTGTCCAGGGGCAACGACTTTCCTTCTCCCTATACTCTTTGATAACAATCGTGTTCAAAGCTTTATTAAATCCAACAGCACAGGCCAAAGCATGGCCTTATTCTCCTGCTTCAGAGCGAACCAGTGCAGGTAGAAGTTACAGATGAATACCTCTGGGCAAGGTCTGTCACGCATTTCCTGATGCATTCAGGTTAAAGAGGCACAGCCTGTTAGAGCCTTCAGCCCTGGAGGCTAGCTCAAGCTGGAGACAGTCACACTTTCACTTCTACAGATCCTCACCGTAATCCTGGAGGTCAGTCGTGATGGTGGCTACCATATGGGCATAAAAAAGCGCAGGTCAGTGATGCTGCTGTGCCCTTTCCCCGATGCGCTCAGTGATGCACAGACCACAGCCACCCAGTTACATGTCAGGGTCCTGGCAACCAAAGTGCATTCTGAAATACCCCGATATTCACCTTTGGGTGACAGGCATAGTTAGTTCACGCAGCCTTTCACCTGCTTGGTGTGAACACGTATATTGTCCCAGTCAGCTTCCTGACTGTCCCCAGACAGCGGCTGCAGTGAGGGAACCAAATGGGTTTTCCTCCTCTAGCAGCCTGATTCAGTAATCCTAACGTAGAGGGTCTGTGAAACATTTTGGTTGAGGTAGTAAACAAAGTCTAGTCTGCACAGATCCTCTTCAGCAGTGCAAAATGTTTTTTATCTCCATGACTTACGAAGAGAGTAGCGATAAATACAAATAAACTGGGAATAAATGTCCTTTTATATGCTAGTATGAAGCTAGATAGGGTATTGACTGACCTACTAAGCAAAAAAAAAATGAATAACACACATCCACTTTAGCATAGCAATTGAAATGTTAGAATATCCACCAAAACCATTTACTAATTATGGAAAACACGTAGTAACAGCTTGGCAAATAGCAGAGTGCCATACGTCAATGCTGCTCGATGAAGCAATTCCTCCTGCACTGTACCACGTACCCTTGTAACTCATCTCCAAACATCTACAATGATATGGGTATACTGCAAAACACATGTAAAGCTGCAAAGGCACCAGGCACTGAATGGTTAAAAGCCATTTAAAGTCAACTGAGTCTAAGGGCTTCCACCCTGAGTATTTCTAGTGTTGTGTTATGGATGGCCAACAGCAGGTCCTCCTTGACTCCCGTCAGTTGACTGGGTGGTTTGAACGATTTCCCAACTTCTATTTGGACTGCAGTCAACCCAGAAAGTGCCACTTTCTGAAGAGAGATCTGTAGGGCACTAACACAGTGTCCATTGATGTGAATTGCTCAATACCGGTTATGTCACTCTCGTAAGGACCGCCTTTTACAATAACGCAAGCAAGAGCTGCTGAAGGTGCATTTCATTGAGGTTTTTGTCCCTGGGAATCTCGGTGTGTCTGCAGTGCGCGGGCTGGATGCAACAGCGCAGCCACAAGCAAAGATTTTGTCTGTTGGCACAAAGACTCGGTGCAGCTAGTGTGAGCTATAATTTAGCAGACAACTTCTATGTCTACCAGGACACTACGAGATAATCATGGAACAGGCCAAGGGGCAAGGGAGCCAAGAGGCTGCAAAATGAGGCTCTGAAATAGCAGTTGCTTTCCTTCCTATTATTTAAGGGGCTGCAGAACTTTAAGAAGTCAAAACCTCACTTAAGTAATTTTCACTGCACACAATTTTTTATCATTATTTCGGCCACAGGAAAAAAAAAAAAAACCCAAAGAAAAGAATTAAAGAGTTCCCTCTTCTTCAGTGCGAGACACAACCTTCCGGCAGCAATCTCATAATGCAGAGATGACCTTTTTTGATGCTTGGCCGAAATCTCTGATCTCATTAAAGGATAATCTAGTTTTTGACTGAAAAGGTAGATTCTCAGCATCATTCTCAGGTTTGTGTTGTGGAGGTCAGTAGCTTATCACTGATGCCGTAGACTTCTGAAGTATCCTGCTGATCTGTTACTGCTTTCGTTTGTAAAAATAGCTTCACTCTGTGAACCACCTACTTAAACATGTTTACTCTCGGTAATCTGCATTTTTAAGTTCCTCCAGTGGGCTTTGGAAGCAACATAAACAATTGTATTAAAAAAAAAAAAAAATCCTGCTCATCGCAGCTTTCATTTGCCTATAGTGACTGCAATGTCACCTAAAAAAATGTAATTGCTGAAATGAAGTATATATGCTCTTGCCAATGTTGACATGATAATAAAATCAATGTTTCTTGAATATGACATTATGCTTCTAATCTGAGACACATTAGTAGCAAGTGTTCCTGTTATTAATTTATATTTGGCCTTTGGATGATGCCAGATTTAACACTCCAAGTCCTAAAACTGTCCTCATCTGACACGCTGATATTTACTGTTTGCCTATACATCTGTAACAGGTGCAGCTGCATTGCTAGCATACATTTTACTGTCTTCCCACCGTTACTTGATATGATAGTTATTCCATAACTATAGCCTTAAGTTTATAGTAACATTTAGGAGGACAAAGCAGTCACTAAACACAAAAGGCTAATTACTGTGCGTTATTTCACTCCAACAGACTTTTTTTCTCTTAGTTCAGGCGCAAACAATAAATTAGCTTAACTGCACTGACGATAATGAATCATTATAATTAAGTATAATTCTCCATTAACCTTTTGGACGTTTTTGTGCCTTTGAAGGTAAATTTAAAAAAAAAAAAAAAAGACAAGAAGACTGGACTTGTGCCATATTAATTATATTAATGAAAAAATAATCTGCATTTTATTTTTAACAAGTTTTTCAAACAGCCAAGGGGATGAACTCAGTAAAGAAAGAGACTTGACAGAATGTGTGTCATGTGGATTCTCTCTATCAATCTTTGCAACCTTACTGTACATCACCTTCATTAAACTGTGAAGCACTGGGGACGCTGATCAGCTACAGTGATGCAGGCCTTTATTAAGCAACACGCCGTCCTGTCATTATGTGAGGAAGAATGTAACACATTTTACGTTGACAGCAAACATCAATGATTCAAAAAATGAAAGCTGCCTCCAGTACCTGCCGCCTGCGATATTTTAGATCAGTAGAGGTGATCCCCCGAGCCAAACCAGCACGAAGGCGCCTGTACTGCTACAGGAAGTGCAATGCAGGAGCACGTTGGTGAAATCCTACCCACAGTTAATCCATCCACCACACAATTAATATTAAGATCAAACCCCCTTTTTTTTTTTTTTCTTTTTTTTTTTTCTCTGCACTATGAAAAAGTCATTGACATAAATTACCTATTCTGTTACTAGCTTGAAATTACTGCAGGAACTCCAGTGATTAAAATAAATCTTCAGTATTTCCATATAAGCTGGTTCCTCAATCAGCTCCTAGCAGCATTAGGAATAATACATGATGGAAAAATGAAGCTACGGCAGCTGAGACCTATGCTACAAGCCAGACAACAACCCACAGGATACTCCAGCTACTCAGAAACAATTAGGACTTTGGAGCCAGAAAGTCATCCACTTACAGCCTTGACTCATAATAGCTACAGGACATATGAATTATCCATATCTATTCCACTTTACCAAGAAATCAAAACAAGATAAGAGCAATTACAATATGCAAACAGAAATCAGCAGATACAATAGCAAGCTGCAAATATTTAAAACACAACAAAAAGACTCGAGAATCTGCACGCATGCTCCACAAGATAGGAAAAATATACTGGAGAACACAGTACATTTTTACTTTAGCTGGGTAGCTCTCTACGGCATGAACATCTTATTTAAAAAGCATCGCCTGTAACCTGTTTTTCCCTCCCCCGTTGCCTGAGGGGAGCATTTCAAGCACTTATTCCAAGCTCGCAGCCAGAGGGTTAGTTCCTTTGAGCAGGTCTGTATTTGGGATTCCTCTCCATGGGGTCCAAAGAAAGTTTGCCTCGCTTCGCAAGTTGCCCGAACTTTCAGGTAACGCTCCATTTTGCCGAATGCAAACATGCAGAAATCCTCAAACCTCACTTTATACTCCAGAGATTACCAGGGAGCTGCTTGCTTTTTTTTTTTTTTTTTCCTCCTTTATGAATTGTAGCCAGCAGAAGCTGTGGATTTGATGTATTGCCGTCTATTTTTACACAAGCAGCAGCGGCGGCGGCGGCGGCAGCAGCGGCAGCAGCAGCAGTTCACACAGTCCTGCATAAACTCTATTCTCATGGTTCATCCTGTTGTCTCTGCTGTACAGTGGGTTTTAACCATTTGTTGGACTACTCGGATTGACTGAGAACCCTGCTCTACGGGACATTAGCTACAGCATCGTTATTCCAATACCACAAGAAGCAGGGAAACGTCTCCTTCCAGAAATCTCTTTTAAAAGCATCTAAAGCCAAACAACAGGGTATTCATTCTTGTGTGCGTGTTTGAATTCTGCAGCTGATAAACAAGGAAAAAAACCTTTGACAGAGCACAGTGAAACAAGCAATTAAAATATGAAGCCGTTGGTTAATTCTAACTTTTTTTTTTTTGAAAAAGAAACGTTAATCTTATTCTAAATAAACATGGCATTTTGCCAACCAGGCCACTAAACGCCACTGGAAAGACTTCAGACACAGATTCATATCAATATCTTAGAGCATAAATATTGCATATGACGGGAAAGCGAGCCAGAGGCACATGAAAATAGTTTCCAACTGCAGGAGATACTGATGACAGGAGCTCAGCTTTGATTTGCTCAAGGCATCACAGAGTAACCTTAAAATAGCAAACTTACTGGAGTTAAGATAAGATTCGGACTTGTTTGCAAAGTATGCCGCCTCGGCCGTCCTGCCGGTTCCCTGACAAGCCCACCGTCCCCGCCGAACGCCTGCACCCCGCGCGCCGCCCACGCCGCGCGCCCCTCACCTCGAGATCACTCCATACAGAGTCGTGGTTGCACATGTCCCACGCCATCCAGCTGCGGAGCGACGGCAGGAAAGCTGGCAAACTACGGTCCAGAGTCAGGCAGGCAGGCAGCAGACACTCATGCAGGCAACCAGACCCTCTCTGAGAGTGAACCGAAGGCACCTGTCTTACTACTGTTCCCCGTCACATGACAAAGCTATTAAAAAGTAGGCTGGGCTGTCACTCATCCAGCCTTCTGGTGCCGCTGCTCCAGCCCGTGACGTCACCCAGGGGCAGACCCAGCCTGAAGTGAAGTAAATCTTTGCAAAACCCGCTCAGACCTCGGCGGCCGCGGCACCACGCTGTGATTCAAAGCAGATTTCCACGCCACACCCCCAAAACTCTGCTCCTGCCGTAGAATAGCTCACATCTCTCCCCATCTTTTTCCATTTCTTGGCTTGCTTGCTTGCTTCCCCCTCCCACCCCAGCTCAAAGCAAACAACAGGCAGAGCTCTGTTTATTATAAAGAAAAAGTGAAGTAACTCCAAGCCAAGCTACAGCCTGCACGCTCTAAATAGCCCGAGCCTAACCTTTGCAGCGCCCGCACTGGCTCCCCAGCGCCGTTTCCTTTGGAGAGGCTATCCCAGAGTTTGGCAAAAGTTACAACACCTTTCAACATTTTTTTTCACTCGGGGATTTTGCACCTCGCCAAGTATTTTGGTTAGGTTAATGGTTTTTTGTTGATAATTGCAACTCGGGTTAGTTTTTCCACACCAAATGCATCAGCAAATTCCCCCCCTAGCATTTCCCAGGAATGGAGTAAGCGTCTATAAAAAACATTCATACAGTTATCTCACCTGCTACAAGGAGGGAGCCTGATCCTGCTCCCAGCTAGATTACAGTATTTCTCAGCTGCTCTTTAATCATTTCTCTGCCTCAGCGTACTCCCCCTAGAAACCAGGGTTGTTACAAGCAACTGCCTCAGTCCTGCCCATAACTGCTCAGCCCCCCCCTGCTTTTTCCTATAAGCACTGCTGCCTCAGGGTGCATTTCTGTATAAACACCCTGCACCAACCCCTCTGACCTGGACCCAGCGTTTTCTCACTGAAAACAAAAAAAAAAAAACCTCTTGTCGTGTGAAAACCCAGACGTGCTGTTAACAGAAGCACCTCCTCCTCGAAGCCTTTCCCAGGCAACAGGGGCTGCTGCAGGTGCGACTGGTTTATGATGCCCCTTTGGACTGCATATACAACAAACTCCAGGTACCAAACTGAACTGTAAAACATTGCCCACAACAGGGAAAAAAAAAAAAACAAAACAACAAATAAAGATCTTGTTTAACTATCCCCACCTGCCTGCTTATTGTCTTAAGTTGCAGGTTTTTTAATTAGCTGGGTGCAAAAAGTCTCGTGAAATGTAAGTGCTGACTCCCTTGTGCTGGGCTAACCAGTCAAAGTCACAAAACTATAATTGATCATCCTCCTTGTCATGAAATATTCATTTTCATTGTTATTTGCAAACTTGAGTATTCTAAAGGCTAAATGAATTCAATTATTATACAAGGCTATGGTGATTTTGCTGAGAGAAAAAATAAATAAAAAGAAGTACAGTTCTTGAAACAGCCTTTTTCCCGCAGACACTGGAAACTTCAGAAATGGTAGGAGGTCTCAGATATATTCGTAGCTTATTTGCGTTCCCTTGTAATTCATTATTGCCAGGCCTGCTAAAATGTACAGTTTTCCCAGCTTGTGCTTAAGTTGCAAATCACATCACACTGTCATATTTTCACCAAGCACAGATGACAAAAATGGCATTGTTTTTACTTTACTTAATTAAAAAAACCACAGCAAAATACCGAATGACTACAGAAAAGCTTTCCTACGAATGATTAAATTAACGGTATTGCTTTGCTCTCACAACGAAAAAAACCTCATTTCCTTCCCAATTATATGCTGATTTAATGATAAAACTGCAGTAAATTATTAAGATCTGGGGCAAAGGTGAGTACCTCTTCCCCCCAAACAGTCAACTGTGAAATAATGCTGGGCACCTGCCTGCCTGGAGTGGAGCTGGTTCTTATTAATTATTATCTGTGGATCCATGGTTGGTGGAATATTCTCCTTCAATACCTACTTATAATTGTGTTCATTGACTGTGCCGAATCCATCATCTGGTTTTTTTTGAAGTTTCATTCACACCTTTTATAGAAATGTATTTACACTGGAACATTTCATATTACTGTTTTGGATATTTTGACCTGCTCATGTTGTTTGTATTTTCTACATTTCCACTTCGCTGCTTTCCCTTCAAATTAGCAAGTTAACTGATAAATATAAACTGTGACCTTAGTGGTGCTCTCACCATACAAGCTTTAGAGATCAGAGAACTTTCTCAGTCCACTGTAGACAGTGCAAGCAATAGGTAATAATAACAGAGTCCCCCAGAGCTTTTCTATGGCCCTGTCCACATTACGGCTCGAACTTTGCTGGCAGTTCCAGCGTTACCTGGAAGGGATGCCAAGCATGATTCCAACTACAAAAGACTCCGAGGTTTCAACGAGGGTTACCCATTGCTTGGGTAGAATTTTATTTTTAAAAATCAAAGTGTCTAACCCCAGCCATTACTCACTAGGATCTTTTTTTCACACGTTTTAATGTGGTTTTTTGCGCATAGTGCCCGTAAGAGAAGAAAAGCGAGGAAGGCAGTTGCAGTGGTGATGTCGTTTGGAAACGGCGCAGCCTCAGCATATGTAAATGAAGCCTGTGAAAGCCGCTCTCCTCAAAGGAAACCTTGTCTTCTGAACATTCCCTAGTAGCTTTAGCAATGCTCTCCCCTTGTGTTTTGACAACATGAAAGAATTGCACAAACATCTTTCCTGGGGCAGGATCTGAGCACACACACATTTTTTGGTTCCATAACAAACACACAAAGAAACCCCTCTTTCAGCTGGCAAAGTCTGTGGGTGGGTTTGACCCAGTCTGCCCTGTTAAAATGTCCGTCATCAGACCACCGCCTCAATCACTGCACTTCCCGTTTTCAGGTTACTCTGTACCTAGTCTCAGCGATTCCCAAATTTTGCCGTTCCTTCTTCAAGGGCCATAATTCAAGACAGTTCTGGCAAGCCTTCCAACAGCATTTGGGCACAAATTCCCAAACCCTGATACATTTTTTAATAGGACTGGAAGGTATGGCTGCCTGCAACAACAGGAACAGAATTCCAAGACCGAAGCCTTCAAGCCTTCTGTCCTTGACCACTTCCTGGATTCAGCATTCATTTTATCTCTTCCTCCTAATCTTTCACCCACATTTTCAAACTATGGTCATGTTTTTATTTCCTGTAATTTAGATTTCTCAAAGAAGCTATTGATTTTGGAGCCCCCATGATTTTGAAATCCAAAACATAGTCTTTCGTCATGGCACTGAGGAAAAAAGAATTTCTTTCCTTGTCCCAAGACTATGGTATTTGCCGATTTTCAGCAAAGTTTGCTACTTTTCCAGTGGAGTAAGGACAACCAAAGTTGTATATAAAAATAGTGCTGGAGTTTCAGCAAGCTGAGGTTTGCAAACCAGTTCTCACACCAGTTCAACCCCTTCCGCTCGACCCTCCAAGAGTGAATGGCCTTACAGCAGAAGATCAGCCAATGTTGTATATAAAAGAGCAAACTGCACTCCAAAGGTGTGTTAGCGTGAATGGTGTTCTATATAAAGTATATGTACCCTATTAATTTTTTATTAGAAATCTTCCTTCTGTGCATCTTTACTCTTATTTTTTGCACAGTCCTGTATTTGTTTTCCAGTCCATTCTCTCTGCTCCACTTCTATCCTATTTGTTTGCTGATTTTTTTTTCCTTCTCAGCTTCTTTTCCTTATTTATCCAGTTCATCCTACCCAGAACACGCCCTCAATAGCATAAGCCAGTGAGTCGAACTCCTTGAACTTCTGGGTTCATTGGTGCAGTAATTCTACAATGGCATAAGGCAGTGTGCCCTCTCCAATTGTGCTAGGGCAGTTATGAACTGAGATTTTGTTTTTTTTACCAGAGGAAAACCACGGTGGTGCGCTGTACCAGCTCTCTGAAAAACTCAAGAGATCTGGGCCAAATTAATTCCTGGCCCAGCTCTGGGCCACAGGCTGCTGTCTGAGGAGCTGTATATTAGGGAGTCCAAAATAACTTTCTCCGAACGGCGAACGGCGATGCGTTACTGACACTACTGAGACACCAAGCTGAATTTTGCCACATCTGCCTCCACAGACAGAGGGCTCAAATAAACAGCACTGAATGCCAGGGGAAATCACTTGCTCGTTCACATGCAAATGGACCTGACTGTGAATATTCACTATTAGTGCAGATTAGCTGATTATCAATGTTAACCAGGCTTGCAGATACTTTGCAACTCTTTGTAACTCGGTGCGTGTACTAAAACCTTCCAGAAGTGCCTAAGTGAAGCAGGAGCACAGGTACCCACTACAAGAAATCTTCCTAAATTTTCTCATACCTCCCTGAACATCTCCCTCTTCACAAGCATATTTCACTTACTTATTACTAAAACAAGAAAAACAAAAACACTCCAGCTGATTACACAAAAAATACATTTGTCACTTGTTTCCCCCCAACATTTGGAGCATATGTTCTCCAGGACCCACATTTGCTATGATTTGCAGGAAAATCCAGCTCGTCAGGCCTGTTAAAAGCAGCATGAACAATGTCTTTCACTCGGGTGTTACTGTTTCGCAGGGAGACTAATCTGTAAAAGAGCATCTACATTCAAATTTATTGCCCCTATATGTTTGAGAAATGGAGCCATGTAAACACATCAGTTTCCTGAGGAGGCTTTGGTGCTGTTTGAGTGCAGATGCCCAGGCAAGCCAAGGAGAGAGATGCCTGTTTTGCAGCTTCTTGCACATTGGCAGAGCAGGCAGGACCACATCAAAATCACAGACCGTTGCAGATCTTCATCATCTCTCCTTTACTCACCTCACTGCTGATATTTCCTTGGAACAAAAGAAATCATAAAGTTCTGTTTTTCCCCTTATCCTTCCACACGTTCAAGTCTCTGGGAAGAGACCAAAACCTGCTCACGTCTGATATTATCAGACCCAGGGGACCGGCTTCTGG